TTTACTTTTTTTTTTTTTTTTTTTTTTAACGTAGTTATTACTTTTCCATTTACTTTTATAATACCTAAAAGTAGTTGAATCAAGATCGAAAGGATATTCCAAAATTCCTGTCGTAGGAACTCGTGCTCTTAATATATCTTGTTCCGTTGGTAAAAAATCAGATGATTCAATTCTGTTTAAATCATCAAGGTAGCTGATAAATGAAAAACCATTTTCACTTAAATAATATTTTTAATATTGACCCCATTTTACACAATGATAAAATGTTAAGTAAATTTTCAATTTCATATTATTATTACTCTATTGAATTAAAAACAGTTAAAAAATTATAAAATAATTTTCTTGTGCTGTATAATAATAATAATACTAGTAAAAAAAAAAAAAAAGAAAAACCCTCAATATAAATGAGTAAGAATAAAAAATTATTATTTTTAGCAAACAGAAAAAAAAGAGAAATTTGAAGAGGTCACACTGTTTAATATATTAAAGTTTACAAACATTGAAAAATTATTATGGTTAATATTTAGTAATAAAAACAAAAAGTTTAAATTATAGTTATTTCACATTAATAATGCTAACATTAAGAAAAAAAAAAAAAAAAAAAAAAAAAAATTGTAATGCCACATGCATGAAAACAATCGAAACAAAACCCCAAAATTATTATTATTATTATTATGAAAAGATATGTTGGAAAAACATGCAAAACCTTCAACCACAGTTATTTCAATATGCGAGCAAAATTTTTCATTATAAATATACCTAAACCGAATTTCTTCTAAATCAAATGGGTACTCTATTATCCCCGTAGTAGGGACTCGAACTCTTAAAATATCTTGCTCCGTTGGTAGATAGTTCACCGCTGCGACACGGTCGATTTCCATTAAATAACTATAATTTGATAATATTTTAAATTATTTCTCAATAAAAAAAAAACTACTTGTGGTGGTTTCTGTATGAAATTAAAGTTCATTAAACAAATAATACCTTTTTTATGTAATTTTCTCGAGTAGTATTATCATTTAAAAATATAAATTACACCAATAATTTCACTTAATAAAATTTGATTTAAATTTAAACAGTCAACTTAAAGTAGAATTAAATCAGAAAAGCAGTATTTTAAGTTTAAATTTTTAAAAAAAATTTGACTTTAAATGGAGCATTAAAACAAACTTACTATTTTGCTGAATCTGTTAATTGATATTCACGTCTTCTGTCATAACACTCTTGAATACCAGTATCTGCCCATAAGTCTTTAATAGCTTCCACGTAGGGACTTTCAAAGGTAGTTACAGTTTCAAAGTCGACAGAACGAATAAGTTCTGCTTTTTCCTGAAATAAAAATTTTACTAATTAATAATTTTATATAATACCACGATTTAATTAAATAGAATTTATTTTACTTATTTGTGGAGAATTAAAAAAAAAAAAAAAAAATGTTTTAAAATTTTGAAAAATCCAAATTTGAAATTAAAATATTAGGTTTCGTTAAAAAAAATAAAAAATGAATAAATATAATTGGATTAATTTTTTATTAAATTTTTCAATAATGCTCGAATAAATTAACTAATTCACAAAGCACAAATTGCTTAATGAGAAAATTATTAACTAATCAAAAAACTTACATTGCAAGATGAGCACCCATACTGTATTTTCAAAAGGTCCATAGCTCTTATCATGCTTTGCATGGCCATAAAAATGTTTTGATACACAAGTTTAATGAATCCTCTTTTATCTTCATCGGAATATCCTGCTCCATGAATAATTCTCATCTGCTTAATAAAGGTAGATTTACCAGATTCACCAGTCCCTTAAAAGTACAATAAATAATTAATTGCAAATTATATTTTAACAGTGAAAAAAAATAACTGAATTTTAAAATTATAGTTATTTTATTTTATATATATGTAGTGCAAGTAATGAGACTCATTACCATTTTATAAATATTCAAAAACCAGTATTTCTGCATTTGTATTAATATTGAAATTTTACATAAAAAGTTTAATCCAAAAAATATATTGTAAAACTTGAGTTATCAAAAAAATGCAACATTGTTTTAATAAGTTATAATAATGATAATAAATCTTGCATTTCTCTGAATGGAAGAAATTTTTGACAAATAAAATCAAATTTAAAAACAGGAAAATTAAAGTTTTTTAAATAAACCGTTCTTACCGAGCAACAATAACTTAAGTTCTCGTCTAGCATCTCTTTTATCTTTTCTAAGCTGCCTTTCTATTTCTTGATTTATTCTTTTTTGTTCTTTAGCTTCTTCAGATAGACAACACGCCATGTTTGTTGGGAGGGCCAGCCAATATTATACGAATTGGCAACTCAAATATGCCGTTTTATTAAAGTTGGGAGTACGGCGCCTTCCCAAACAATTCCTATGTTCTAAGACGCATTTATCGCAATTTCTATTACCTTTTACTTTATTTTTTTAAACTCATTTCTAAACATCACAAGTAACTTTTAAATCCGGTGACAGACTTCTCCTGGGTGTGGTACAACAGACGACGCGGATGTTGAATGATAATCAAAATGGCCGACAACTAACTCGCATTGCCTCCTAACATGATAATTAGTATTTATAATATCCGTGAGTAATATGTCTTAAGCTATAAATCTAATTAAATTTTTTTTTACATCGGGCTTTCACTAAAGACTTCTAAGTCAAAAGGCTAACGTTAATGAGATTAAAAAAAGACCTGCCTTTGGCAAACTAGGGAGCATGCTCAAATCCAAAGAACGAAATATCTGTAACGTCTTTATTTATAAGGAAAAAATTTGTTTTTATATATATATATATATATCAATAAAAAACGAACAATAAACAATACATGATTGATCATTATTCCAAAAAAAAATTTTTATATTTAAAAATGTATACCCACATAATTAATAGCAAAAATGGTGTATTGTATTCTAGCTTATAAAAATCGACACCAGAACTTTAAAAACTAAATGCCACAAAAATGTATTTAATAATAATTACAATTTTTAAGTTGGAACTAGAACCCATAAAGTCTTATTATTTACCAAAACTGATATTAAAATTTTATCATTATTACAAGAAAAGTTTTTTAAATAGTTATATGAGAACTCTAGTAACGAATAAATAATAAATGTATAGTTATTCCAAAAAGTATAAAAACTTTAAACCAAAAAATAAAATTATTTGAAACAAGATTGTCATTTTCAAAATAATATTTAATACATAAATAAAATTTACATCTAATCAAATAAGCAAAAAATGAATGAAAAAGTTATGACCTCACTAAATCAGATATTACCATATCAAAAAAATTTTTAATGATTTTTGCAAAATTGAATTTTTGTCTTTCGAAAAACCATTCAATTTATTTAAAATTTTACGAGTGAAATAAATCAATCCCATTCTCCTTTTCAAATCAATTTAGTTTAAGTCAAAGTAAAATAGAAAAAAATTCGTAAGCCGTAATCAATATTGAAATGTTTATCTTTTTTTATAATTCAAACCAAAAATTAAAGTAAATTAAAAAGTTTTAAATCATAATTTAAAATAAAGTTGGTTTTTTTCTCTCTCGAATTATTCAAATTTATAATTAAAGTAAACGAATTTTAATAAACAACGATTCTGATTTGAAAAAAAAATTTGTTTGATTTTTATTTTTAAAACTATTATTCTGAAAAAAAGAATAGTCGGCGTCGTTAAATTTTTTTTTTAAAACTTTTTTTAAAAGAAAGTTTCAAAAAGTTTTTTTAAATTATGTACCTCTATGGTCCGTTCAACTCTACTAACTCCTATGGTTAGAATGTATTGTTAATTTCTCATTGACATACAGATATAAAATATATCAAATTTTTTTTAAAAACAGTTTAATACTCCTGTTAAAATCGGATTTTTTTTTTTTTTTTTTTGTATTTACGTTAATAGTGTTCATAAATTATTTTTTTAAAAATGGCAACTGCTTTAGAAAACCTGGAATCTCAATTGGAGATGTTTACTGAAAATGTAAGACAAATAAGAATAATTGTTAGTGATTTTCAACCACAGGGTCAAAATGTTTTAAACCAAAAAATGTAAGTCAAATGATTTTTTTTTTTTTTTAATAGGAATTTTTATATTACTAATGATATTATGTTGTTAACTTTTATTTACCTTCAATTGACCTATTTTAATAATTGTCTTTTCTAACCTAAAATGTTTTAAAATATTATATTGTATTTGAAAATGAATTTTTTTTTTTTTTTTAGTCAATCTTTGGTTCATGGTTTGCAAGAGATTGATAAGCTTAAATCACAGGTTCAAGAAGTACATGTACCATTAGAGGTTTTCGAGTAAGTCATTAAAACAACTTTTTTTTTTTTTTTTTTAAGTATTATTCCAAGCATTTTAAATAAATTTCTTTGCTTTATAGATATATTGATCAAGGAAGAAATCCACAATTGTACACAAAAGATTGTATAGAAAAGGCTCTTACAAAAAATGAACAAGTTAAAGGAAAAATTGATGCTTACAGAAAATTTAAAGCGCATTTATTAGTCGAATTAAATGCTGCTTTTCCCAATGAAATTACCAAATATCGAGCTATTAGAGGAGATGAAAGAGTTTTATCTATTCCTTAAATACATATATATATATATAGTTATTTATTATTTACTCATACTGAAATTAAAATTAAATTATTAAGTTATTTTATCCTATTTGTAATTTTAAGTAAAACTATTGTCAGTCAAGAAAACTTGTAAAAAAATATTTTGAATTTGTAAAACTGCATTTACAATGACATTGATTACCGTCATCGAAAATTTTACATATTGTAATAATTTGTTTATAATTGTACTAAAAATTTTTTTCACACATTCTGTCGAAAGTCATTTTTGTATGTCTAAAGTGTTTTCTGTCTGTTAGTGAAAGAAAAAAATTAAACATATTATTATAGTTATTATTAAACACAATTTAAACAAATTTTTTTGTGGAAAAGAGAAAAATGAAATTATACAATTACAAAATTTTTTTTAAAAAAAACTTGTAAGATGAACAATACAAGGTTTTCTTGAAAACATATAAAAAAAATAATAATGTATTTAAAATATAAATCATATTTTTCATTAAAATTGTATTTAAAAACATTTTTTTTAATAATAATTGTAAACTATTTTTTAAAAATATAATTTAAATGTAACTTTTATTGAAGTTCACAAAATGCATTTTATGACAATTTTAATTAAAGTAATTTATAAATTTAAAAATTATTTTACAATCAATCACAAAATCCATCATTTTGATAACACCATTGAGGTTGAAGTAATTCTGTTGGACCTTCATTAGAAAGTCTTTCTCTGTGGTGGTTCATTCTAAATTGTGCATCAATCCAATCTCCTGAAGGATTCGACCATAAACGTTCTGCTAAAGCCGAAGTTCTGGGCCATAATCGATGTATTACGTTATGATTATCAATTTGTTCTGTCCTAAAAAAAAAAAAAAATAAATCAGAATTTGAATTTTTTTTTGGATGTAATTTTCAAAAACGTTTGTTTAAGATTTTTGGAACCAATTAATTACCAAATAGCAGATTCACTGCCCAAAATTAATTTTTTATTTTCTTCATTTAATTGAATTCCTAAATTTTTAGCAATTTGGTATGGTGAATGTTTGTACACCTTTCTCCAACTAATGTAAGGAGAACACCAATTTTGTTCAGCACTTTTAACCCATCCTGGTCCTCTGCAACAGAAAATAATAAATAAATATTTTTATTTTTAATTTTTTTTTAATATTTTCTTTCTAATATAAAATTTTCTTACCCGCAATCAAAATAAAGTTCATCATAATTTGATAATATTATTTTAAATTTATTATTCAATAAGGATTTTATTGTTTGATCAGTTTTTAATGTCCATACTTGAATTATGTAATCTTCTGGACGTATGTATTTACCAATATTTTCTGGATTTGTTAAAGTGCTAGTCCACAAAATTCCTTGAGGATGAACATCTTTTTTAGTTTGTCTTAATTTTTGTAATGCTTTATATTGATATTCGCTCCAAAGTTTGACATATCCTGAATCAGTTAGAGGATATTTATGATTTACCATCCATTGTTTAATTCTGGTTGTTGAATTCCAACAATTTATATTTACCTAAAAATATATAACAAAAAAATTTTTTTTAAAAAGAGTTTAAAAACTTTGAAATGAGATAAAATTAATATTTATTCAAGTATCTTCACCTCATCTCCTCCTAAATGAAACAAATCTGATTGAAATAAATCAACATATTCTTTAAAAATTGTTCCCAATATTTCATAGACTTTTTCATTTGTGGGATCAAGTTGTCCACATGGAGGTTCCACACAGTATTTTCTCCATGGCTGCCATTTAAAACAAGTTATCAGATCTGATCCTAATGCTGACCATCCTTCACCAACGTGTGCTGGAGCATCGAATTCTGGAAGAACTCTTATTCCTAAACTTTGACCATGACTCACTATTTTTTTTATATCATCTTGGGTGTAAACCTAAATAATAAAAATTATTTATATAAATTTTTTAAGAGCTCAAAAATTCAAGCTCAGCATAGGCAACAATTATTTTGTTTTAAACAAAAGAAAAGAAAGAAATAGATTGTTATGTGTCTAACTTGATTTTCCGAATAAGCTCCATTTTGACTTAATTCTGGATAAGCTAAAGAAACATATGGAAAACTTTGAGAATCAGTTATGTGCCAATGAAATGTATTTAATTTATCCATAGCCATAATGTCTAAAATTTTTAAAATATTTTCCGTTGATATAAAAGATCTAGCTGTATCTAATAATATTCCTTTAAATAAACAAAAAAAAATGGTTTTATTTTAATTAAAATTATTAATAGAACAAATAAAAATTTATAATTTATATACCTCTGTGTGTAAATATTGGTCTATCAAATATAGTGGCTTCATCGACCATTTTGTATGTTTTATGTATATCATCATAAAAAATTAATTGACTTAACGTTTCTAATCCATGTCGTGCTCCTAAATAATTATTAGCTTCAATTGTAATTTGAACCTTAAAAATAATTTTTAATATAAATAAAAAATACTAAATAGTTGTAATTAACATTTAATATAAATTTACTTTATTTAAACTTGTCGGTGGGATTATTTGAATTTTATAACTTTCGTCGACATTTGTAGAAAAAACCGTTACGTTTGTATCAACTATATGAAATTGTATATAAACATCAAATAAAACATTTTTAATTTCTTTTTCTCCACCAATTTTTTTTATTTTATACAAAAAACGATTTTGTGCTTTGGTCAATAAAGTAGACACACTTGTTGGTACTTCATTTTGATATTCAAAATGTATTTTATCAACATTTATCTAAAACAAATTTAAATTTTTTTTTATTAATAATGATTAATTGTATTCAAGTTGTTACTGTTTAGAAATTTGTTTTAATAAAAAAAAAATTGGTTTTAATTTTTCAAATGGTTGTTAAAATATTTGTTAAATTTATGACAAAGCGTATTTAATATAAAATTTGATATATGAATATTTTAGTTTTAAAAAAAACAAAATAAAATGATATAAAATTTAACTTACTTGAGATGTTGTATTGCCTACATAAAATGGGCCTGTTGGCTTTGGCCACAATCCTCCATATTTGAGACATTTTACTTTACATTCTTGAATACTAATTGATTTTTCAAATAAATCAATTTCTTCTTTTACACATTTATTATCGTAGCAATTCCACGTCCTATAACTAAATAAAATAATTTTATTTTTATTAATTAAATTAATTTTATGTTAGTGTGTTTGATAATAATGTACTTACCCTCTTATTAATTGCGTGGGAGCCACGACAACAAATACAATTATCAATGTTAACAAATTGAAAAAATACATTTTTTTTTTTTTAAACTGATAAACAATATCATTAGATTAATTAATTAATTTTATTTATTTATTTATTTTAAAAAAATCAAAATCAAATAAAACATACAAATTTCTTTAATTTTTTTTAACAAAATGATTTATTGTACTTTCTAAAAAAAAAAAAAAAAAAACCAAATTAATGATAAACAATTTTTTTCTTTTTTTCTCAGGTAAATAAATTTTATCAATTTTATCACAAAACAAAAAAAAAAAACGTTAACTTACGGTTAATTTTTTTTTTTTTTTATTAATTTTCTTCGTTTTTAATTTATAAATTTAATATTAAATATTAAACGATTGTTTTATGGTTAAATAAGTTGGTCGTTAACTTGTAAAAAACAAGTATTACTAGGTATTTAATTTACTTTGTACACCTGGATACCTACTTTTAAACCTAACGACTACTACTACTACTACTACTCGTTTCAAATTTTTTTTTTTTGAATTTATTGCTTATTTTTAACGTATTTTTAAATTCCATTTTTTCAAAATGTTTACGCGTAAATTGATGATAATTAAAATTTTATTTTAATTTATAAAAAAAAAAAATGATTACAGTTACACTTAATTATACACACACGAAAGTAAAAATTAAATTGTAAACAGAAATTAATTAATCAATTTTGTTAAATAACCTGATACATTTTTAATTAATAACCTATCCGACAAAAAAATATTATTATTTTTTTTTTATATCTGTTTAATTACTAAAACACATTAAAAGTTATTAAAAATTCTTAAAAATTCAAACAGTTAACGTATTTTTTAGCAATAGTTGGATCTAGTTTTTCTATTTCTCGAAGTTTCGCAGCAATTTCTTGTTTCATCGTGAATTCATATTCTTTTCTTTTACCAAGACCTTCCATATCATTCAAAAATTCAATTCTATCTTGTATTTCAATAATGAGTTCATCGATACGTTCTTCCGGAGTTATCATTTTTGAACTTCCGGTAGTTACTTTTTTTGATGTAACGCTATTCGTTTCCTGTCCAGGTTTTATATTTTTACCATAAACCATTACATTTTGTAATTTTTCTTTTTCCTTTTCCCAATCAACTGAAAAAAAAAATCAAGCGTCTGTAAAGGGAATTTTTGATGATTCATTCATATACAAAATTTATTATTATTTTTTTTTTTTTAGGTACTTGTTTTTCCAATAAACTGATAT